GCTCAGTCTTGAAAGTAAGAGGCTATAGGCTGCTTGGGGTGACTCAGTGATTTGAAGTAGGGTGGATCTCTGAGTTCCTGGGGATGATAGATCACGGTGATTGAGGGGGGTGATGGGTGACTGTGAGATGCAGCCCAAAGAATTGTCAAAGCCACTATGTGAAGTGGAACATTGTAAAATCCTCTGGTGAAAACTGAAAGATAGGCATGAAAAAAGAAACCTCCATCACAATCTCAAGACACACAGTACTGGAGGCCTGATTTCATCGCAGTTTGAGTGCAGCGGTCTTATGATTTCCCTGTAGCTATCAGATTGGCTGAGACATCAGACACTGTGTACCTTATGCCGATCAAGTGCTTCAGGCATGTGTGGGCAGATAGTTTTTCATCTCCTAACTAATTTTACACAATTTCTGATCACACTTGAACACACAAAGCAGATGATGCATGCAATAAGCTGAAATGTACCTTCCCAAACAACAAGTCTCTGATCTCCAAAAAACAAATTACTTTAAAATGCTCACATCATAAGTTAAGACATTTTCCCTCTTTAGTACTCTGAAAACACCCTCTCAATTCTCTCCCTCCTGGGCAGGGAGGTCTCTGCCCGGGTGGTTCTTTCTATCTGCAGGAGCTTGTGTTTTGCTCACAGTTTTCCTTCGCACTCACATGGACAGGGGTTTGCTTTCCCTTCAGAAAATTGGAATGAAGCACCCGAGGGCTGGACCAGGAGTGCAGTCACTAACCACACATTACTGTGAGCAGAAACGATCCTGTGGCACAATGCCATTTGCCTGGAGAATATCCACCACACCCCGTCAAGTCACAGCAAGCTACTCTATGACCCGTACTAACAAGCCCGTGCTTAGGAGATGCAGCACAGGAAGCCACGCTGCAGAAAGTTTCTGGAAAAGAGAGTCTCACTCAGGGTGCAATCGCATCAGCTGACAAACTTAAGGTGTGGGAGTCAGATGGATCAGAAACCTGTCTGAACTAATAAAGGGGTGTTTCTCCACCGAATGAGATGATTTAAAATGGGTTGTGATTTTTTTTCATAGAACTTTCTGCCTTTTTCCTTAAGCTTGATTGTTTTCCAGACCCTTATGATAAATTCCCCACTTATTTGAACTTTTATTAAGTCAAAGTCTCACTCCAGAGGTGACACATTCTTTGAATATTGAAAATACTTTAACAACCGGCTTATTGTGATAACACAGTGTGAGTGAAATGAACAGTTCCCAAAATGGGATATGTGTAACCCTGGGGGCAATATGGTAGGGTGTCTCTGGTGGGTGCTTCTCTCATAATCAATTAATGGTGGATGTGTCTGAGGGCTCAGGAAGTGGGGTCACTGGGGGAGGGAAGGAGTGAGTGAGGGAGTGAGTGAGTGAGTGAGTGGGGGTGGAGGCATGTTTGAAAGTGGAGCTGCTGAATAAGTGAGTCTGCGAAGGAGGGAAGGGGGTGGGGTGCCCACATTGATATATCTCTCCGAACTCCGAACTCTCTAATGCTCTAACAAACAAGCTGCTACATTACATGAATGGGTAGTAAAAACTTATCACAATGTTTCCTGTCATGTGCAATTACAATGATTCACGAAACATGATCATGAGAGGGGTGGTTAGAAAGGAAGCTGCCTGTAAGATCACACAATAACTTGGTCAATCTGAGTCGGGATATATGACCCAAAAAGTTTGAGAATTGCTTGATTTAAGTTCAGTGGTAACAACAACACTTCCGAGTTGACAACGATGAGAAACTGTGTCATTTTCGAACTCCACCTTTCTAAGCCTTTCACTAGTTAAATCCAATTCTTTACAAAAAGGATACTCCTTCTTCACCGTCATTTAAATGGAAGGCACTGACTGCTCACTGAGATTCAGGTGCCTTATAAACCTGCACAGCTTCACCTGTTTGCCCATTCCTCCCAGGTGGCTGTGAGCACAATGTGTGACATTGGCAGACGTCGCCCCTGAGCCTGATTCCGTTCTCCTCCATCACTCACACACTTGCAGATTCCAGTAGGAATCACAATTAGGAGCTTGTCCACATCAATGACCAGGGTCTGGATGCTATTTGTAACACCCGCTGCTGTCAACCAAACTCAGCTTAATAACACTACTTGTATTGTAGATAGTTTCTTTAAAGAAAGGAAGGACTTGCATTTTATGTTGTACTTTTTGTGACTATCAGACATCTCAAAGTACTTTACAGATAATCAAGTACTTTTTGAATTGCGGTTGATGTTGCAATGTAGGCAATGCAGAAGCCAGTATCTACACAACAAATTCCCAGTCGCTCCAACATAATAATGATCTGCTAACCTGGTGTAATCTGAGGATAAATAAATTGGCCAAGATTCCAGGGATAACTGAACTGTTCTTCAAAACCAAGATGGTGCTGGAAAATGACAACTTTGCATGCTTTTCACTACACTCCTGTACTCCTGTACTTGAGTACATGTGACAATAAAATCTAATACTAATTCTAATTAGTGCCAGGGAATGTTTTTCAACCTCTTGAGCAAGCAGAGGGGCCTTGATGTAACATTTCTACCAAGAAGATGGCATTTTGAACAATGCAGTCTTCTTTCAGTGCAGCACTAGAATTGAATATCAGCTTTGATTATTGTACTCAAACCCTGGAAGGGACTTGAACCCAAAAGTGACAGTGCTACCAGCTGAGCCTTGTCTGACAAACAGCATCATTTAAACTCCCAAGCTGCTTCTTAGGAGTGTCATCAACCCAAATTTGACATTGAGTCATGCAAGGAGCTGTTGAGCCTGATGACAAAAGTTTGGTCAAAGATGTAGGTTTTAAGAGGAGGAAGTAGAGAGACAGCGTGGTTAAAGGAGAGGATTACTAAACTTGGGGCGTTGGCAGCCACACGGCCACCAACAGTGGAACAATTAAAACTGGGGATATGGAGGGTGTCAACATATTGGGGGAGCACAGAGAGTTGTGGGCTGGATGTGAGGTCATGGAGGGATTTGAAAATAAGGATGAAAATTCTAAAGATGAGGTGCTGGTCAGTGGGCACAGGAGTGACAGGTAAATGGGGCATGGTATGAGTTAGGATATGGGCTGTAGTATTTTGGATGTATGGCAGATTGCCCAGGTGAGTATTGGAATAGCCAAGTGTCGAGTTAACAAAGACATGGGTGTGGGGTTCAGCAGTGGATGGGGTGAGACAGGTGCAGATTCAGATGATGTTCCAGAGGTGCAGTCAGGTGGGTATGGGGATGAAGCTGGCTAATTATGGAAGGCATAAAAAGCTGCAGGTTAGGAAAGGGTAGGCAGGAGAGAGGAAGAAACTACAAAAAGATCAGATTTGAAGAAACTTTGTCTTAAATGCTTGAAGACAGGAGATTGATTTGATATGATGCATATTTGAACATCTATGGCAGGTAACAGTTTTGAGCTATTTATGTCTGGCTACACCACATAAAGCACTGAGGTATCATGCCCTCCTCTGCTGAAGCTCCCAGGGTCATCCTGGAATAAATAGTTTGTTCCCAGCTCCTCTTCACTTTAAGTTAATGGTTCCCTCTTCTTATGTACAATTCCCCTCCTCAAAAGGCCCACCCTTGAACCCTCTGTTCTTGCAAGCCATTGCCCCAAATCCAACTGAATTTCAAACTCTCAGAACATATTGTCCCATTTATAAATCTTGCAATGCTACGCTTGTATCCCTTCCATCAGATTTCCACATTAACCTGTCAAACTTAGAAATGGCATTGGAAGTTACTATGATGAATGATCTGTATCCTGCTTAGTCTTGGACATGTTTGGCCACACCATCCACACACCATGTCCCTCTTCTGAAACAGAGAAGGTAGGAGCAGGAGTAGGTCATTCAACCACTCAAAGCCTCCTTCTGCTGCTTATTACGATCATAGTCAAAAGTCACACGACACCAGGTTACAGTCCAACAGGTTTATTTGAAGTCATAATCTTTCAGACCACTGCTCCAAAAGCTTTAATTTCAAATAAACCTGTTGGACTGTAACTTGGTGCTGTGTGACTTCTGACTTTGTCCACTCCAGTCCAATACCGGCACCTCCACATCATTGTGGTCATGACTGATCATCGAGCTCAATACCCTAATCCCGCTTCCCCCTATGTCCCTTAATCCCTTTAGCCATGACAGCTCTATCTACCTCCTTCTTGAAAACACAATGTTTTGGCCTCAACTACTTTCTGTGGCAGTGAATTCCACAGGCTCGCTACTCTCTAGGTGAAGAAATTTCTCTTCATCTCAGTCCTGAAAGGTTTACCCCTTATTCTTAAACTATGACCACTGATTAGAACAAAGAAGAACAAAGAACAATGCAGCGCAGGAACAGGCCCTTCAGCCCTCCAAGCCTGTGCTGCCACATTTTGCCCTTCCATACAAAAAACTGTCTTCACTTACAGGATCCATATCCCTCTATTCCCTTCCTATTCATGTATTCGTCCAGATGCTTTTTGTATGCTGCTATTGTATCTGCTTCCACTACCTCCTCTAACAGTGTGTTCCAGGCACTCACCACCCTTTGTGTGAAATAACTGCCTCGCACATCTCTTGTAAACTTGTCCCCTCCCACCTTGAACCTGAAGAAGGGTACCGACCCGAAACGTCAGCTTTCCTGCTCCTCTGATGCCGCCTGGCCTGCTGTATTCCTCCAGCTCCGCACTGTGTTATCACCAGAACATTGCCTGGGTCTCTGGATTAATAGTCTAGTGATAATACCACTAGGCCATCGCCTCCCCTTAGTGATGAGCTGTGATGCCCAGATTGTTGGGAGCAGCATCTGGGATCTCCTGCAGTGTAGTGTTCATTTCCACACGGGGCAGAGCTTGTAGTGACTAAAATATAAGGACAGCTTAATAAGCGTCGGAATTACAATATTTGTTAGCTTCAGTGAATTTGTCTGGCTCTCGGTTCTGACACTGTTGCTGGCTTATGTCCTGTTCCTGAATCTCTGCTTGTTCTGAATAAATTTCCCCATTGTTGTCCAGCAGAGATGCATATTTCCAATGGCGAGGAGATGGAGCCGCTCAAGGACAGCCTGAAGGACAATGCGTGCTTGAAGAACCACATTGCCATTTGTAAGGAGGAGAGTGTTTCCTTTAATGTGCTGCCAGACTGTATGCAGAATGATCAAAAGAGGGTTATCACTTCCCTCAGTCCTGATGTGGCAGAGACATCAAATAGTGAGAAGTTGGAAGCAAAGGATATGCCAGATCCAGATGCACAGAGGGACTCGGGGGCTATTCTTTACAGGCAGCAAGTTCTAAGATCCAAAGCTGAATGGAAGAGACAGTTCACCTTGCCACTCAACAAGTGGAACACTGGCAGTGAAACCCAACTGCGATTCAAGGCTTTGCAGACAAAAGCCATCGGAGGGCAAGGTTCGGCGCACAGCTTGCCCCTGTACTGTGCCAGTGAGGACCATGGGCCTGCCACAGGGTCTCCAGCAGGCATCTATGCCCTGTCTGGTCGGCAGGTGGTGGGTAAGGCTGACAGCTGGCCACACCAGAGCCTGGCCACCAAGAGCAACTTCACAGTCACTTCCAAGAGTGACTTCTCCCTCAATACGCTGCTGGCGGAGTCTGAGAGGGGTGAGTCCAGTGGTCTACAGAGGCGGCCCTCACAAGGATCAGACCAGGAGAAAACAACAAGTAAACATTTCCGATCGCTTAATAAAAAACCAAAAGAGCTGCGGCTGCTGTACATCAGAAACAGAAATAGAAGTTGCTGGAAAAGCTCAGCAGGTGCGTGGAGAAACCAGAGTTAACATTTTGGGACGGGTCACCGGACCCAAAACATTCACTCTGACTTCTCCCCACCTGCTGAGCTTTTCCAGCAATTTCTGTTTCTGTTTCTGATCACTTACTTCTTCTTACCCTTCTCTGTCCAGTTATTCTAATGTGAACCTTTACAAAAAAGGGCATATTGCTTTTGGGGGAAATAGTAGCATATTGGTAATGTCACTGGAACAGTAATCCAGGACATGGGTTCAAATCACATCATAGCTTATGGTGAAACTTAACTTCATTTGACAAAACATCTGGAAAATAAAGCTAGTCTCAGTGATGAGGACCATGACAATTATCATTTAATATTGTAAAAACGCATCTGGGTTATTAATATCCTTAGGGAAGGAAATCTGTAATCTTTACCAAGTCTCCAGATCCATTTTGATTTGATTTATTTGATTTTTGATTTGCTTTGATTTATTGTAGTCACATGTACCTGAATACAGTGAAAAGTTTCGTTTTGCGAGCAGTACAGGCAGATCATAGCAAACAAGGACATACAGATCGTAGGGTCCTAGATAGAGCGAGGCATATGGCTGCACAGAAGGTTCACAAAGCAAGATCAACATTAGCAAGATCAACGTTATTTGAAATTAGAGAGGTCAGCATATGAGGAATGTTCAACATATGAGCAAGGTTTGAGGGCTCTGGGTCTATACTCGATGGAGTTTAGAAGGATGAGGGGGGATCTAATTGAAACTTACAGAATACTGAATGGCCTGTACAGAGTGGATGTTGGGAAGATGTTTCCATTGGTAGGAGAGACTAGAACCCGATGGTACAGCCTTAGAGTAATGGGCAGACCTTTTAGAACAGAGATAAGGAGAAACTTCTTTAGCCAGAGAGTGGTGAATCTATGGATTTCACTGCCATGGAAGGCTGTGGAGGCCAGGTCATTGAATATATTTATGTTGGAGATAGATAGATTCTTGATTATCAAGGGGATCAAGGGTTATGGGGAGAAAGCAGGAGAATGGGACTGAGAAACTTATCAGCCATGATTGAATGGCGAAGCAAACTTGATGGGTTGAATGGCCTAACTTTTGCTCCTGTGTCTTACAGTCTTATGGTCTAGGTCCATTCAGAAGTCTAATAACAGCAAGGAGGAAGCTGTTCTTGAACCTGTTGGTGCGTGTGTTCAAGGTTCTGTATACTCTGCCTGACGGAAGAGGTTGGAAGAAAGTATTACCAGGGTGGGAGGGGTCTTTGATGTTGGCCGCCTTTCTGTGGCAACGAGAGGTGTAAATGGAGTCCATGGATGGGAGGTTGACTTCTGTGATGGTCTGAGCGGTTCACACACCTTTCTGTAGTTTCTTATAATCCTGGGCAGAGCATTTGCCGTACCAGGCTGTTATGCACCCAGATAGAATGCTTTCTATGGCGCATCTATAAAAGTTGGTGAGGGTCATTATGGACATGCTAAATTTCCTTTGCCGCCTGAGGAAGAAGACCCATTTAGTTGACTGCACTGCTGTATGAGATAGCCCAGCAAGCCACTCAGTTCGAGGGCAGTTAAGGATGGGCAATCCTAAATAGGTCAGCAGCATTTGTGGAGGAACATTCGTTCTGTTTCTCCATACATTATTGCTACCAGACCAGCTGAGGATCTCCAGACTTTGCCGTTTTCATTTTAGCTTTGAGCAACCGTGGCATTTTGCTTTCGGATGAAGCTACTTCATTGTTTATTTGGTTTCACCCTCGTCAAGCTGTTCACATTTATTGAAAAAAGCGCTGATGTTATTATAAAGATATCCAAGGAGTGTGCACTAACCCATACCCTGCAATATCTCAAAGCTTTCACTGTGGGCAGTACAGAGAAGGTTCACTCAGTTGCTTCCTGCAATGAAGTTGTTGTCTTATGAGGATAGCTTGCACCTTTACACAACGTGTTTTAGGAAGGTGGGAGGTGATCTTATTGATTTTGAAGGGCTTGACAGAGTCACTGCTGCGAGCTGCTGATTTCCTTTCATGTGGGAATCTAGAACCAGGGGCCAGGGGTATCACGGCTTTAAAAATAAGGGCTCGCTCCCGTTTATACAGAAATGAGGGGGTGTGCCTTCTCTCAGAGGGTCATTAATCTTTAAAGTTCTCCTCCCCAGCAAATCTTTGGAGACTGGTCAGTCAAAATATACAAAGCTGAGCAAGACAGATCTTTGATCCACGAGGGAGTCTCGTGGGCAGAATCAACTACAATCTTAGCGCAAGACAAAGCAGGCTAGAGAGGTCGAGTGGCCTACTCACTCCTGCTACTGGGAGTGAAACAAGTGGCGTCTTAGTTTTCTCAGTCTTTTCATCCCCCTGGGTGAGCAGGAGTATCCAGACTGTGTCCCACAAAGGTGCTGATTTCAACTATCCTGGCCATGGACTGGGCACGTTGATGGGCCACGGACACACATTCACTGTCTCTCCCAAATCTTCCTTTCCTGAATATCAGAGCAATGCTCCCACAATGGGGGCGCAGCGTGTCCCTTAACCAGCTGTATTCTGTAGGAGTGCAGTGCTGTAATGTGTAGGAGTGCGGTGCTGCTTCCAGTCTTCCATTGCGATGCTTCCATCGGGAGTCCAATTCAAAGAACTACTGTTAAACCGTGGAGCAGGGCATTACTGTGAGGAATTTTAACAACTACTGGGCTTTTATAAATGGCTTTGTGAATTGATCCAGTGTGTTCCTGTTAACTGATCTCAGAGAGCCACTACAGTTTCAGTCAGGTCCCTATTAGAAGCTAGAGAGCTGGTCTGTTCACTTTATGGCCCCTCCTGCTGGACAGTTGTGTAAGTCTATAGATATCAGGCAGGAGTGGAATTGGATTTACTTGTGATATTCTCAATACTCACCGTTGCATGTTAAATACTTCCACTTAGGCAAGATACCAGTAGGTACTTGTGATCTATGAAGGAAGAAGTACAGATTGAAACAGGCTAATCAAACCCACTCCTCTCATGGCCTGTTGTATAAGAATGTAAGGGTCTGTAAAAGTTAATACAGTGATGTGCTTTAAGCACTGTCCATTTTTATGATCATATATGGACTGTAGCAGAGTAGCTTAGGATCTAAGATCTAATGTCCAGGTTCTGCTCATAGTCTCTGTAACGATGTCGATCATATCAATGTAACCTGTATCTAGTTGCTAACGTGCAATCAATTATTTCTTGTTTAATACAGGAGCATGTTCTAGTTACACTGGTAATTGGTTTTCCTCTACTACACTAGACAAAACAGGCATTTTAGATATCTGTTCTTAATGAGGATGGTGCGGACCTGGTTTAACCGAGCATACATATGGTTAGCAGCAGTGTGGATACCATTGAGTTGCCTCATACCACATGCTGGCAGCAGTGGAGGTCTGAAGGTTTAGACTCAGTTTTAAGTTGCCAACTCTTGCAAGCAATCAGCAGCAGGGAAGAGCTGAACAATTAAGAATCTTACAGAGGAAACGCTTGTGACAAGATTCAACAAGGCAGAACCTACAGTCGATGGTGAAAGAATTTCTGACATAAGAGCCACACTGCAAAATGCGCACTGAACTCCCTGCTAATGGAGAACTAGTTACTGCAGAGACAGACTGCATCGTGTGGCAGGGGTCTTCAGGAGCACTTCTGGTTCAGGGTTTATCCAGAGAGTGAACAGATCTCAGAGATTCCATGAGTAAAGCTAAAATCGTTGATGGCCAGAAGAAAACTTTAAAATCGGCACTATTACAGGCTGGAAAAGGGAGAAGTGTATACAACTCAGCTTAACCATTGCTGCCTGGTAGGCAGGCACCATGAGGACGGCTAAGGTGAGGGAAATCAAAAATCACAAAACGATTCAAACCAAGTTCATGGACAGGGGCATGTTGGGCAGCTAAACTTTGAGCAACAAGGGAAAAAGTTTAGAAGCCTAGGCACCCCTGATCTAGGAAAGGCAGGAGATCCTTCAAAATTATGGTAAACGTATAAAGCATTGATTTAAACTGTGGGAGTGTGAATCCAGGAACAAACTGTGGAGAAGTGAGATTCATCTCTTAAAGCCGAAAATAGCAAGAGTCATTTCATAAAACTGTGATGAAAGCAGGCATCATTTATTAAAGCCATCAACATGGATGGCTTTAATTGGACTGGATTAGTCCAATTCAATCCGATCTCAAACTGGATTCATCTGGTGAAGCCACAGAAAATGCAGAAAACATCCCTTTTGGCTGTAAGAAAGCTCAATCTTTGCCCAAATCTGTGGGAAACCCTCCAATTCAGCAATTTTACAGAGCTGCAGCAGCACTGTGAAGGAAAGAAACCTCACAGGTATGCTACATGTCAAATAAGAATCTGTACAAAGAGCTTAATGTGATAGAACAGTCCACAGCAGAAGAAAAGCTGTAAGTGTATCCGAGGAGATAGATGATCCGGCCATTGCTTTGTGGCAAGAGTATATTTATGTCAATGATCATCTCAAGAATTTCACATCAGACACTGAGGTATGTAACATTATATTATCAGATAGTGAACCACGATTGAAAGAAAACACTGTCTGTAGCCTACAGCAATGCAATTACATCGTCCTTGAGGTATAGCACATAAGTCGAAAGGTGTGCTAGAAGCATTTCTCCAATATAGGGGAATCCAAATAGTAGAAAACCTAGTGTGGACTGTATAATTGGGAATTCTCACTTTTCAGTAACACTCCCTCTGAGCATTCCGCGTGTGGCAATCAGCGTCAGCTTGCCATTTGACTTCTGATTCTTGGAGGCTCATGCAGCCGGATGGGAAATTAGAGGGAATGCTGCCGTTGAGTATGAAGGTGATCCTTGGCCTCAATCTTCCTCGAATGAAGAGAGGAGTAAAACTAGTTAAAGTCAAAGAACATCTGGTCAAAAGGCAACTGGTAG